TGACCACTGCCACCAACACAGTGTTGCTCTAAAGTGCTGGGCAATGTGGGTTTTAAGAAGAAATGAAACAAAAGGCTATCTATATGAAAAGGAGAGGCAAGCTTTTTATTTCCAAGTAATGACTTTACCTAGAAAACAGGATAAACCAATAAACTGTTAGAGGCCTTCTAGAGTGACTCAGTAAAGCTGCTTGGTGTAAAATAAATATACAAAAGTGTACCCACAGTCAAGAGTTGTTCTATATATGTTATCACAGAGCCAATTTACAACCCCCACAAAATTAGACTGAATTTAAGAATAAATATATGAATATATATGAAGAAAACTATAAACCTTTTCTGATGGTTAGATGCAGACTTAAATGGACAGTCATTTACCATATTCTCTGATGTGAAGACCTAATATCATATAGAACTATGTTAATTCTTCACAAACTGGTCAATTCTAATCAAAATCCCAATGAGATATGCAGGGGCATGAAGAGGCTGAGTTTCGAGAAAATGATTCCTGCATCACCTGGAAGAATAGATTAAAAAAATTTCAGGCTTCCCTGGTGGCGCAGTGGTTGAGAGTTTGCCTGCCGATGCAGGGGACATGGGTTAGTGCCCCAGTCTGGGAAGATCCCGCATGCCGCGGAGTGGCTGGGCCCGTGAGCCATGGCCGCTGAGCCTGCGCGTCCGGAGCCTGTGCTCCGCAATGGGAGAGGCCACAACAGTGAGAGGCCCATGTACTGCAAAAAAAAAAAAAAAAAATTTTGTTTTAGACGTTCTTAAAATGTGGTCCCAGTCCTACCATCTATGAAAGTGAATGATGGAGCAGCAATAATGGAAAAGACAGGCCTATGGACCAGTAAGGAATGCAGTTCAAGAACGATGCAGGGACCTTAGATTTTTACATCCCAGATGGATTGATTTAAGAGTTAAATGTATAATATAACCAAAAAGGGACTTAAGGAAGGGCTTTCTTAGAGCCAAGTAAAAATATAAAGAAAAATTGAATAGACCTGATTACACAGACTTCAGAAACCTCTGTACACTAAAAATGCAGTAACAAAGAAAATGAACATTCCAAATATGTGTGTACATATTGCATATGTGTGTGTATTGTATATAAGTATATATGTGTATATATTGATATGTATGCATATATTGTATATATGTATACATGTATTATATGTATACATGTATATATATTGATATGTATATTTGTATTGCATATATGTATATGTGTATATTGCATGTTTATATATTGCATGCATGTGTGTATACAAAAGAATGGAATAGTGGACAAAAGATAGGACTAGACAATTCATATGAAGAGAAGAACAGTCAAAAACAGGAACAAGTATCATCCTTAGATCGATCTATTTATTTATTTATTTATGGCTGCATTGGGTCTTTGCTGCTGTGCACAGGCTTTCTCTAGTTGGGGCAAGTGGGGGCTACTCTGTTGCAGTGCACAGGCTTCTCATCACGCGGCTTCTCTTTTTGCGGAGCATGGGCTCTAGGCACGTGGACTTCAGTAATTGTGGCACGTGGGCTCAGTAGTTGTGGCTTGCAGGCTCTAGAGCGCAGGCTCAGTAGTTGTGGTACACAGGCTTAGTTGCTCCGCAGCATGTGGGATCTTCCCGGACCAGGGCTCAAACCCGTGTCCCCTGCATTTGTAGGCGGATTCTTCACCACTGCGCCACCAAGGAAGCTCAGGAACAAGTAATATTCTTTTTTTTTTTTTTTTTGCGGTACATGGGCCTCCTCTCACCGTTGTGGCCTCTCCCATCGTGGAGCACAGGCTCCGGACGCGCAAGCTCAGCGGCCATGGTTCACGGGTCCAGCCACTCCATGGCATGTGGGATCCCCCCGGACCGGGGCACGAACCCATGTCCCCTGCATCGGCAGGAGGACTCTCAACCACTGCACCACCAGGGAAGCCCAGGAACAAGTAACATTCTTAATGTGTCAAAATGGCAAATATAAAAAGTGATTGGGAATTCCTGGGCGGTCCAGTGGTTAGGACTCAGAGCTTTCACTGCCATGGCCCAGGTTCAGTCCCTGGTGAGGGAACGAAGATCCTGCAAGCTGTGCAGTGCAGCCAAAAAAAAAAAGAAAAAGAAAAAAAAGCGTGTGTAGTTGAGGTCTATATTGATGGGGCTTTTTCTGTAGACTTACATGGTTGGAAACACCTCACAGAGTAACTATGTGGTTTCCTTTCTCACAGGACTAGATCTGTGGAGAAGAACTACAAGACAGAGTTGCTAATAAACTGTGAAAAACCTAACAGTCAAAACTTTTTTTATCTTACGTATTGGCATATGCTAACTGTTCTAGGGTATGATAGCTTAGGAGTTAATATGATTTGAACTTAATGCATGTTTACAGGGTGTCTAAAATTCAGAACCAGGCAGATCCATCTCCTGACCCTAAACAAGGTTGTACAGTAAATTGCTTGAGGAAACTGGTTCTCAAAGACTACAGGAGGGAATTTTTTTTAAAATTAATTTTATTTATTTATTTTTGGCTGCACTGGGTTTTTGTTGCTGTGCGCGGGCTTCACATTGTGGTGGCTTCTCTTGTTGCAGAGCACGGGCTCTAGATGCCAGACTTCAGGAGTGTGGCTCAAGGGCTCTGGAGCGCAGGCTCAGTAGTTGTGGCACACAGGTTTAGTTGCTCCGCAGCATGTGGGATCTTCCTGGACCAGGGCTCAAACCCATGTCCCCTGCATTGGCAGGTGGATTCTTAACCACTGTGCCACCAGGGAAGCCCAGAGGGGAATTTTTGAAGTATTGTCAATGTTCCATTAGAGATCAAAGAAGCCCAACTTAAAAAATTGTGGACTGACTATCACAACTATGGACTGAGCAAAAATTCTTTTTTGAAAGGGCTACTTTGAAGATTATTACTCTAATACTGGAGAAGCTAAGGTGATTGGCAGTGGAATGAATCAGAACATGTACAATTCCTTAAAAATTTATTTATTGACTTAAATAATTTTGCCTATAATAAAGCCCTTTACACTTTTTTTGTAAAAAAAAAAAAAAAAAAAAGACATGTATACACGCAGAGAAAAAAAACAGAAAGAAATCCATCTCCAGGTCATGACCTGTGAACTGATTCTAAGGGTCATTTTAATTCTTATAAAATTGATTTTTTTCCCCAAATTTCTTCAATATACATGTATTATGTGTATGATCAGAAAACAAAGTTTATATGTAAATAAAAGAACATCGAGACTTCAATGGAAGGGGGCCAAAGGGTATTTCAAACAGTTTTCAAGAAGAAAGACCAACAATAAGAACACGTTCCATTTCAACCTCACCGGTTATCAAAGAGCAAGGTGCTGCTCTCAGCTGAGGGACTTAACAGCCCCGCCAGGCAGATAGCAGGTGTGGTGTCCGGGGTCCCCCAAGATGTTTGCATTTGAATTTCTTTTAAAATAAGAAAAATGAGTATGAAAATGAATCAAACCGAGATTTTTATCTATCTTTTGCCAATGCAGTTGTCCAATAGAACTTTCCCTATTTGTCATGGAGGAAGGGCCTGAGACTGGCCCCAGGGACGCTGGAGGAACGATGGGGGCGGACACCTGGGATCATTGCCGTGGCACCCAGAAGCAAGCTCGTCTGGACCCAGCTCGAAGCAGCGTCGGCCTCCGGGACCTGGACGCGCCTGACAACTACTGTCGGTTCTCCTCACACTGAGACGGTATTACTTTGTTATCACACAACCAAAAATATACTAAAACGATGCCTTAAGCTGTTCATTTCCTTTATCTCAACACTCTCACTTCTAGAAATCTACTCTAAGACAACGCTAAAGAAGGATAATGCAAAAAGATGCTATATGAAAAATGACTTGTAACAGTGAAAACTTGGAAATAACTTCTGCATCCAACAAAAAAACAGCTAACAGAACATCACGCCCCCATCCAGAAGGACAGCTCCAAAGACAGTGAGGCTCCGTGGGAAAAAGAAGTCCTGCTATGCAGGTAAGCAGGGGAAAAAGATTAGAATGTTGACTGTATACACCGTGTTTAATGTAAAAATGCAATATCAAAAAGCAGAAGGTAACGTACCAAAGTGCGAAATGCAATTTTATTAAGAATTATGGGTGTTTTTCCCTTAATTCCGTATTTTCTGTAATGTGGTTATTTTGCCTCCATAGTTTAAAAAGTATACTAAAAAGCATTTCATAAACTCTAGCACTTTATACAAATGTGAAGTATCATCACTGAGAAGGCAGCTTATATCTGCTTAGAACTGAGCAGAAATGGCACGAGTCCCAGATGAATACCGTCTTTTTCCTTCTCCGGGGAGCACGGGGCCCAGCTCCTCTCACAGGGCTGAGCTACGTGGTACCTGAGCGGCCCTGCAGGTGGCCTTGCCAGCCGGGGTGGAGGTGTGCTTCCAGACACCTGTGTGCCAACACTGCACCCTGGAGGCACACCCCTGTGTCCTTCCAGCTTCCAGCATGGACAAGGTGGCCAGGCATGAGGCTGGCATGTTAGGACCCGGCTATGTGGATGCTGGGCCAGGTTCCAAGACAGCTGCGCTGTCACTAACAACATGACTCTGCAGCAGAGCTATGTGAGTGAAGCGAGTCCAGGAAATTTGCTTTTTCCAAAATGCCCACCACCTGAGCTTATTCTCCTCTCCTGGAATATCAAGTTCACTTAGAAGTAATACTGTTCATAATTCAGTTTTTTTTAAAAATTATCATTCTAAACATAAGAGTTTACAAAGGAAATTCCAGATCGAAATCACACCAAGAGGCTGTCCAAGGACACATGACTGACATACCTCCTTTTCATATGCGGGGAAGATCTGTGCCCCCTCAGTGACTTCCAAACCCATCAAAGAAAAGACCGGGGGAAAAAAAAAAACCAGGACGAGGGTACATCCTCAAACGTGCTCAATTCTCCTCTCCTACGGTGGATCCCTTCCCAGGAGGTGACAGCCTTAAGGGGTGTTTCCAGGTGGGCAGGTGGGTGTCTCTCGCACACATGAGTTAATTTCTGGGGTTGCTGCCCACGGGGAACTCCTGCTGGCCAAGGGTGGGACCACGCCCAGGAGCTCAGCCACGCCTAGGGCATCGACAGGGCCCACGCTGCTCCCGCCGGAGCCCCCTGTACCCAGTAGGCTGCCAGGCATGCAGTAAGTGCTCAGCAAGCGCTTGTCGAACTGGACGGCAAAGGGCTTCTCCCTGCTGTGGAGCCTGCGGTGCTCTGCCAGGGGGCCGCTCCAGCCGAACACCTCGCCGCACTCATGACACTTAAAGGGCTTCTCTGCGGAGTGGGTCTTTTGATGTTTAATGAGACAGTGATTCTGGCTGAAGGCCCGGCCGCACTGGCCGCACTTATAGGGTTTCTCCCCAGTGTGGACGCGCTGGTGCACGATGAGCGACGAGTGGCAGCTGAAGGCCTTCCAGCAGCGGCTGCAGTCGAAGGGCTTCTCGCCGGTGTGGACACGTTGATGCACAATCAGGTAGGAGTGGGAGCTGAAGGCCTTGCCGCACTCATTGCAGCGGAAGGGCTTCTCGCCGCTGTGGACGCGCTGGTGCACCACCAGGTACGAGTGGCAGCTGAAGGCTTTGCCGCACTGGCTGCACTTGAAGGGCTTCTCGCCCGTGTGGGCACGCTGGTGCAGCGTCAGGCGGGAGCGGCTGCTGAAGGCCTTCTGGCAGTCGCCGCACTGGAAGGGCTTGTCCCCGCTGTGGAGCTTCTCGTGCACCGTCAGGGACGAGTGGCAGGCGAAGGCCCGGCCGCACGCGCCGCACCGGTAGGGCTTCTCGCCGGTGTGGATCCGGCGGTGCCGCGTCAGGTGTGTCCGCTGGTTGAAGGCCTTGCCGCACTCGCCGCACCGGTAGGGCCTCTCACCGGTGTGGACACGCAGGTGCATGCCGAGCAGCGAGCTGCAGCTGAAGGCCTTGTCGCAGGCGCCGCACTTGTAGGGCCGCTCGCCTGTGTGGACGCGCCGGTGCACGTTCAGGGACGAGTGGCAGCTGAAGGCCTTGCCGCACTGGCCGCAGAGGAAGGGCTTCTCGCCGGTGTGGACACGCCGGTGCTCCAGGAGGTTGGTGCTCCAGGTGAAGGCCTTGCCACACTCACCGCACTTGTAGGCCTTCTCTCGCGCGTGCCACCGCCGGTGCAGCGCCAGGGCTGCGCTTCGCTGGAAGGCCTTGCCGCACTCACCACACGTGAATGGGCCACTCCCGGCACCCGGGCTCCGATGCCTGGCTCTGCTGGACTGCACGCTCCCCACGCAGCCGTCCGGAAAGGCTCCTTCTGCGGGAAGGCTGGGCTGGGCCAGGAGGGCACACCTCTGGCCAAGAGCCTCCTCAGACACCACATGGCCCCATCGGTGCTCCTCTGTGGGACCGTCCCTGGCGGCCTCACATTGTGACAGAGCAGTCGCCAGGGCCCCCTGGGTGCCCCTGTCGCCAGGACCGGGGCTGTGGAGACCGGACCTCGCCAGCCCACCTGCGATCAGCTCCCATGATGGTTCTTCTTTGTAAACGCACAGCTGCTGAGACCATGGCTCCTCCACCTCAGGCTCCGGCTCCCACTCTGGTTCTGTAAGAAATGGAGATACTACCTTCTGAGAGCTGGCGGAGGTGCGGCGCTTGGGCTCAGGGCTGAGATCTGCCAGGAGAACAGGTAAGTGCAGGAGAGAGAGTAGAGACCAGCAGGGGGAGAGAGAGTGCGCAAGCTCAGGGTTGTGCGGAGGGGAGTGCTCAAGGCAAGGCAGGCAGGCTGGTGAGCAGGGAAGAGGAGGAAGAAAGAGGGAAAGGAGCCCTGGAGAAGCCAGGGGATTCTGAAAAGAGCCAGGGGGCGGGGGGAGGACAGAGGAGCAGAAGGGACACTGAGCAGGTGCAGACGGAGCAGGGCAGTGGACTGCGGAAGGAGAGCAGGCCCCATGGGGCAGTGGGGGTGGGGCTCCACATCCTCCCACTGCATCCCGCTCACCTGGACCAGCCCCTCCAGGGACAGCTCTAGGCGCCCACCATGGCTCCTCGCCTCGTTCCAGGTGAGAGATCACATCTGGCTTGCAGACGGGAGGCCCTGCGTGGAGGGAGAAAGCGGCGTGGCTCTGGGTGCTGTGCTCTCCAGACCAGCCCACAAGCCCAGCAGCCCTGGAGTGGCCCCAGCGGCCTGAGGCAGGGAGAGGTGGTGCCAATTCCAAGGAAGGGGGCCTCAGACATGGAACCCATACTGACGTGTGTGTCTGAGGACCCCACAGGTACTGACATGCCCCATCTAGGGCAGGCTGGGCTTCCAGGGCCCTGTCCACCCCCTCCCTTTCCTCTGGGCCCCACCCCAGGACCAGCCACACTTCCAGGCAAAGATGTCAGCTGGTGCCACAAGGGCCTGGGGCATATACCACAAGGAAGACTCAGGAACACATACAGACTGGTGGATGCCCAGACTGCGGCCTCCTCACCTTGGGAGCCATCTTACCCAGGGCAAGAAGGTTCTGGTAGTTCTCCAGCATCACATCCCGGTACAGGGCCCTCTGAGGGGAGTCCAGCTGTCCCCACTCCTCCTGGGTGAAGTCCACGGCCACGTCCTTGAAAGTCACCAACTCCTGGAATGACACACATGTTCTCTCTCACCCAGGATGGGAGTCAGTCCACTTGCGTTTTTGGGTGACTGAGGATCTCAGTAGCAGAGATAACCTTGGGTGACCTGAGCGTAGAAGATAGGGCTGTAGACACCATCTGTCCTATAGCCCCGACGCACACACCACAACTCAGCCAGGAATTGCCACGCGGCCTGGCCTGGGAGGGCCCAGCTAACTGGGCAGCCAACATATAGGTGCTGCAGTGGGGGCACAGGCTGAGGCCATAAGTTCTGGCCAACTTACAGAACTTGAAATATAATACAAAGAGCCCCAAACCCTATTCAAGTCCCACCACTGCAAAAGGCCCCAAACCCAGACAGGAAGCCCTCACTGCACCCTAAGGAAGGACCCTGTACTGCTCCGTGTCCTTCCTGCTTGGCCCCCACTCCTTCCCGCCAGACCCCTGCTCCCTTGCCCTCCTGGGGCCACATCCCAGCCCACCCCCTCACAACCTTCTCCCACTTTCCCTCAACACTGGCCCCTGGTCTCGGGGTAATCCCCCCGACTTGGTCACTCTGGTTCCAAGTGTCCTGAAAGTCCCAAATGATTTCCCTTATGTGACTCCTCCTCTGGAACCCCAGTATTCTGCCGGCCAGGGCTTCTTACCTTTCCAGCTGGGCACGCCAAGAGGTTGGAGACCCAGTGCCTGTCCCATGAGAAGAGAACAAAGAGCAGCCCAGGCCACATACAGTCATGACAGGGGTGCATTAGAAGATAGGCAGGGACTTCCCTGGTGGTCGTGGTTAAAACTCTGCACTCCCATTGCAGGGGGCCCGGGTTCGATCTCTGGTCAGGGAACTAGATCCCTCATGCCACAACTAAAAAGATCCCACGAGCTGCAACTGAAGACCCTTCACGCAGCAACGAAGATCCTGCTTGTCGCGACTAAGACCCAGCACAGCCAAATAAATAAATAAATACTAAAAAAAAAAAAAAAAGGCAGACCGTAGGGTGGGCGTGGGGGGGACACAGAAGTGGTGGGGCAAGCAGGTCCTCAGCAGTAAAGTGAACTGGAGTCAGGGAGGAGGCGGGGAGGCAGGCCACAGTGGCCAGAGTATGAAGATAGATAGGTATCTACCCCAAGGTGACAGCGTCTGCATTCTGCAGCAGGCAGCATGGGGGGAAGGCAGGAGGGGGACGGGTGTGAACAGGTTCTGAGCATGGGCCTAAGGAGTGACCTGGTTAATAAAAGCAGCCTGGTAAAAACTGAGTTTCGAGTTCTGTTTCTAGGCACAAAGGGGTAATGGGGACCAGATTTGCCCTCTTACCTCAAACAAACAACTAGTAAACTGGGTAAGATGTATGAAACAATGGTCAATTTCCAGACACTGGACAAAGGACAGCTCAGAACAGAGACCCCTGAGAACAAACAAAGTGAGCCCTACAACAGCCTCACCTTCCCACATGGAAGCTGTCCCTGATCACAGTGCAGGGAGTGGGAATCCAGAGAGAGCTTGTGGCCCAAGGAGTTGAGGAGACAGAGAACAGAGTTTGGGGAGACCAGGAAACTAGAATTTTCAGGGCAACGTGCCACAGCAGAGGGAGCCACACAGACTTGGAACTCTGGATGTGTTCAAGATTGACTGAGGAATGACAGGAGTGTGCCTGAGAGGAAATGACCCCAAAACAGGGAAAGAAACAGCAGAAAGAGGTGTATGCAGGACAATCATTAAAACTCAAACAGGGCTGGGAACAGTCTGTGCTCCAACCGGCCAGAGTGAATGTCCTCCTGCTCTATGGGACACTGAGTGAAGTCCCCAGAAGGATGCTGCTTCAGCAGTGGGGCAAAATTAGCCTGAGATTAAAGACTTCTCTGGATCCACCTTAACAAAACCTAAAAGTAAGCCTTGGAAGGATCCAACTGACACTAAGTAATTTCACTGCATCACAAAACATTTAAGGAATTAAACCCAACACCCAACAAAGTAAAATTCACTCCGTCTAGAATCCAATCAAGTAACTAAAAGGAAAAAAAGTTAATAAAATCAGAAGAATTAAAAGTATCATAAAACTAAACAGAACAACAAAAAAGTATCATAAAACAGTATTTACCTCAAAAGAAAGCGTCAAGGGTGAAACAGAATAAAAAAAGATACAAGACGTAGAAAACAAATAGCATAACAGCAGATATAAACCCAGCCATATGGATAGTTATGTTAAATGTGAATAGTCTAAATATCCCAAGTAAAAACTAGAGATTGTCAAATTGAATTTAAAAAGTAAGACCCAGGCTTCCCTGGTGGCACAGTGGTTAAGAATCCACCTCTCAATGCAGGGGACATGGGTTCAAGCTCTGGTCCGGGAAGATCCCACATGCTGCGGAGCAACTAAGCCTGTGTGCCACAACTACTGAGCCTGCACTCTAGAGCCTGCGAGCCACAACTACTGAAGCCCATGTGCCTAGAGCCCATGTTCTGCAACAAGAAAAACCACCACAATGTGAAGCCCACACACAATGAAGAGTAGCCCCCGCTCACCACAACTAGAGAAAGCCCGCACGCAGCAATGAAGACCCAAAGCAGCCCCTCTGCAGAAAAAAAAAAAAGATACCCAGAAAATTCTCCACATATTTAGAATTAAACAACACACTCCTGAATAATACATAGTTGAAGGAGAAATTACAAAAAAATTAGAAACTATTTTTAACTGAAAAAAAGGGAAATACAACAGAAAATTTGTGGAATATAGCTAAAGCAGGACTTAAGAGGTAAATTTATAGCACTGAATGCTAATGAGAATAGGTGTCAAATCAATACCTCAGTTTCACCCTTAAGAATACAAAGTAGTATACACTGATGTGTATAAAACTGATGACTAATAAGAACCTGCAGTATAAAAAGACAAACAACAAAAAAACAACTAATACTAAACTTTCTTTGGTTATTTGTATGGAAATATCTAATATAAATGTTTCAGACATTACATGAAATTTCTAAAAATCTTATATGTTCTGGTATAATGTTAAGTCATAATTCTAGTTATTACTTTAAAATGTATATCTCAGAAATAACTATATTTCCTTGTCAATTGCATTATTATGAACTTTCATCAAATCTTTAACCGTGATCATTTTTAAGTCTTTTGTCATTTACAGACAATTCTGGGTGTACGCTGATGCTTTCGCAAAAATGTTCCTATAAAAGGGTTTCATCTTCAAGGAATTCATGGAAAAGACTCTGACAAGTACAGGTTTCTGGTAACTGACTATACTGCTGAACTGAATGAATAAGCATTTTCAGAACTCTAATGGAAAACTGATGAATTCATAAAAGTGCTAACAAAAGATCAAGATGAAAAAAAAATTAATTACATGGGACTGAGTGAACTGATGAGGATGATTATAATTTTTGTGACTTTGTTTGAATAAAAAAAAAAATCCCACAAGGACTCAAAGGCAAAAAATATACAAATCGGGCTTCCCTGGTGGCGCAGTGGTTGGGAGTCTGCCTGCCAATGCAGGGGACGCAGGTTCGCGCCCTGGTCTGGGAAGATCCCACATGCCGCGGAGCAACTGGGCCTGTGAGCCACAATTACTGAGCCTGCGTGTCTGGAGCCTGTGCTCCGCAACAATAGAGGCCGCAATAGTGAAAGGCCCGTGCACCGCAATGAAGAGTGGCCCCCCCTTGCCACAACTAGAGAAAGCCCTCGCACAGAAACGAAGACCCAACACAGCCATAAATAAATAAATTAATTAATTAATAATAATATCACCCCTGATTTAAAAAATATATATACAAATCAATTTTCACTGCAAAGTAAAGGAGCTGTTACAGTGGAGGATTACTGGACTGAATGTCAATATTATGACATAGTATGAGTGTGTTTCGTGTTTGGTAATTGCAATCGTTGTTTTTGTTGTGGTCATCCATTTACAATGCTTGGTGTCAGTTTATCTCTTGTAAAAATAAAATACAGTGTGTGTGTGTGTGTGTGTGTGTGTGTGTGTGTGTTGTGAAAAAAAAGAATTCACTGGTGTAAGTGGGGTGATATTTGCATAATTACTCATGTAGATTTGATTATTTATTTTATTATTTTGATTAAACAATGCTACAATGCTAAAAGAAAATGCATACTTAGCTGTTAGCAGGGTTGAAGCTCCTGATGGTTGTAAGATCTACCTGCCTGAATTTGGACATTAGCATTTTATGCAATGAATTAAAAGCAAAAAATCATTGAAAAAAAAAAAAAAAGAAGCCAAAGTAGGTACCTCCCTGGTGGTCCAGTGGTTAAGACTCTGCCCTCCAATGCAGGGGGTGTGGGTTCGATCCCTGGTTGGGGAGCTAAGATCCCACATGCCTTGGGGCCAAAAAACCAAAAACATAAAACAGAAGCACAATTGTAACAAATTCAATAAAGGCTTTAAAAAAAATGGTCCACATCAAAACAAACAATCAAAAAAACCCAAAGTAGGGCTTCCCTGGTGGCGCAGTGGTTGAGAGTCCGCCTGCCGACGCAGGGGACACGGGTTCATGCCCTGGTCCGGGAAGATCCCACATGCCGCAGAGTGCCTGGGCCCGTGAGCCATGGCCACTGAGCCTGCATGTCCGGAGCCTGTGCTCCGCAGCGGGGGAGGCCGCAACAGTGAGAGGCCCGCATACCACAAAAAAAAAAAAACCCAAAGTAAAGAAAGGAAATAATAAGAACCAGAAACTGACGAAAAAGAGCACAGAAAAGCCATAGAGAAAATCAATGAAACCAAAAGATGGTTCTCTGCAAAGCCCAATAAAATCAATAATTAAATATATATTTACTATATGACTCAGCCATTCCACTCTTGGGCATTTATTCAAGAGAAATTAAAACACACATCTATACTTGTACTCCGATATTTATAGCAGGTTTATTTGTAATAACCTAAACCAGTAAACAACCTAAACGTCCATCAATTGGTGAATGGATAAACAAATTGTGGATTACACATGCAACAATGTTATGTGCTGAACTGTGTCCCTCCAAATTCATATGTTGAA